AATATAAAGAAATATCGGTTATTCGTATCAGCCAATATATCGGTTATCGGCTTTCAAATATAAAGAAATATCGGTTATCCGTATCAGCCAATATATCGGTTATCGGCTTTCAAATATAAAGAAATATCGGTTATCCGTATCAGCCAATATATCGGTTATCGGCTTTCAAATATAAAGAAATATCGGTTATCGGTATCAGCCAATATAGCGGTTATTGGCTTTCAAATATAAGCAAATATCGGTTATTGGTATCAGCCAATATAGCGGTTATCGGATTTCAAATATAAAGAAATATCGGTTATCGGTATCGGCCAATATAGCGGTTATTGGCTTTCAAATATAAGCAAATATCGGTTATCGGTATCAGCCAATATATCGGTTATTGGCTTTCAAATATAAGCAAATATCGGTTATCGGTATCGGCCAATATAACGGTTATCAGCTTTTAAATATAAAGAAATATCGGTTATCGTTATCGGCCAATATATCGGTTATCAGCTTTTAAATATAAAGAAATATCGGTTATCGGTATTGGCCAATATATCGGTTATCGGATTTCAAATATAAAGAAATATCGGTTATCGGTATCAGCCAATATAGCGGTTATTGGCTTTCAAATATAAGCAAATATCGGTTATCGGTATCAGCCAATATATCGGTTATTGGCTTTCAAATATAAGCAAATATCGGTTATCGGTATCGGCCAATATAACGGTTATCAGCTTTTAAATATAAAGAAATATCGGTTATCGTTATCGGCCAATATATCGGTTATCAGCTTTTAAATATAAAGAAATATCGGTTATCGGTATTGGCCAATATATCGGTTATCGGCTGTCAAATATAAAGAAATATCAGTTTTCGGCCAATATATAGGTTATCGGCTTTCAAATATAAAGAAATATCGGTTATCCGTATCAGCCAATATATCGGTTATCGGCTTTCAAATATAAAGAAATATCGGTTATCCGTATCGGCCAATATATCGGTTATCGGCTTTCAAATATAAAGAAATATCGGTTATCCGTATCAGCCAATATATCGGTTATCGGCTTTCAAATATAAAGAAATATCGGTTATCGGTATCAGCCAATATAGCGGTTATCGGCTTTCAAATATAAAGAAATATCGGTTATCGGTATCGGCCAATATATCGGTTATTGGCTTTCAAGAAATATCAGTTATCGGTATAGGCCAAGATGTTCATGTCAGACCGGTGTATCCCTAGTAGTAACTGCACACTTTGCCTTTTGTTTAGTATTCTCCGACTGTAAGTTTTCTTAAAACAGTGTGAAATCGCTGGTGTTTCTGACGTCACACACAACCTTGTAACCAATCAGATCAACGTGTGATCGTCAACCAGTGGATCACTGAGCTGAATGAGTGAGTGGAGGCGGGGCTCATCTGCATATTCATAGAACCGCGCATACTAAATGAGGCAAGGGTGTTGAGTTACATTCAAGATATTATAAGGCATGAAGAAGGAAAAAAACATTTAAATATGTAATTTTGGTGATCAAAGATGAGATTAAGAGATAAAATTATCGACCACAGGGACTTTAAACATTAAAGCTGAGTGGCTGATGGTTAGCGTAGCATTTAGCTGAACGTGACGTGGGAGAGGCCTGTGAATAACCCTCGACTCGGGTCTCTGGACACACACCTCTGGCGTGCTCTTCTTGAACTCGCGGCTCTGCTCGACGAGCCTCTTCCTGGACTGCTCGCTGTCGTCCTGCCGGCTGGCCAGGAGTGTGGCGCTGCCGTCCAGCTCTCGCTGAAACACAGCAAAACACACACGCTTACAGATCACAGCCGCTGAGAACACTGCGCTCACACCCGCTGACCGATCAAACACACACACGTCTATTCACACGTCGTACGTCTCGAAGTGCATGTTTATTGTCATTCCTCTATGTTTCTTCAACATTGAACATTACATACTGCAAATACCAGGATGTCTACATACAAACAAGTTACATTTAAGACTCTTTAATGCCACTCTGAATGAAATTTAAGAACAAACCTGTTATGGAAATATACAATATTTTACATAAGCTTAACCTAAGAAATTGAAGTATTATTAACTGTTTATTGAACTAAAATCAATGTTTACATTTGAGAATATTCAGCAAAATAGCTCCTGTCATGTTATGTTACTTAACTATATCTCTATATGTAATAAATAAACTCCACATTTTGAATTTTTACCTCAGTATGTTTCTACTGTGAGTTTCTTCTGAGACAGGCGAGCCTCAACAGCGTTAACAAAAATACATTATCATTATCAATCGCTGTTTATGTAATAAAATCTGAATCATTCTCGCGATTCGATGCTTTGCTGGTCATTTGTAAGACTGGAGACATTTGTAAGACCCATCAAACCTGAATTTAAGACATTTTAATATTTTTAAGGCCTTTTATTAGGAAAACTTTAAAGACATTTTAAGACTTTTTAAGGACCCCTGGCAAATACACAACATAATGCCCTAAAAATATACCTTTTAACATGCAGTAGACGAAAGCACACGACTCTCACTGACTAACAGGACGTTTCTGTAATTGTTGCAATACTTAGTTTCTTTTTAAGGAATGCGAACAATTTTTTGTCAAAAACCTGGTCTGGGCTTGCTTGTTTTTTGATAAAAAAAAAAAAAGTTCTAGCCTATTTCTGGCAATTGTAAAGGCCCTTTCACACCAAAAGTGAATGAAAAGACTCACTCCTGTACAGCAGAGCACGAAGGAGGAAGAGCAACACTCTTAGCTCAGCAAAAACAAAAAAGTAAACACAAATGTGATGTTTAACTAAGTTATTTTTGCTGGATAATTCAAGGTCAGCAGCAAAGACACTGTTTAATAAAGTGAGATTAAATACATAAAGCATTTAAGATATTTAACAGAACTGTATGATTAATCGTTAAAATCATTTAGCCACGTCCAGATAGTAACAGGTAGTGACCAGTAGGTGGGGACAAGAGACTGTTACAAATGTGTTTGTCATTGAATCATTCATTCAACAGATTCGTTCAAACGAAACAAGTGAAGTATTTATGAGCGCATAATCCAATCATTCATTCAACCCGATTTTTTATTAAATAATTCATTCAGATTCATTAAGCATTTAAAATAATCTGAAGCAATTAAAATTAGTCAGAACCTCCAGTAAATTACATGTTATTTTGTTTGGTTGTCTGTTAACGTCGTGGGAGAATCGGGATCTCTCTACGATTTTTTTTTTTTTTTTTAAGTCCCCGTGAACCGGAAGTTGCAAACGATTTTTCTCCAGTGCTGTGACGTATTTCCAAGTGAAACGGAATATTGAACAGAGGGCAGGGTTTTACTCTAGCGCTCCTCCTCTCCATCTCTCGCTCATAGCAAACTAACGGTTTGAGGGGAGCGGTTAAGCGTTTCCCCACCCAAACTGTGAAACCTACGTCATCAGAAAAAGAAACCGTTCCAGACCGGAAGTAACTTTTCAGATTTTGATTAAAGATTACTAAGGTAAAACATTTTTTTAATATATATTCACTTGCACGGATTAATTGTTCACCACAAGACTAGTAATATGCGCTAACAAAGTAAATAGGTTCAATTATGATTTCACGGGGACTTTAATCATGACAAATCATGCAGCTCTAATATTAGGCTAATTATTGCAGGTTTGCGCAAGTTTCAGAGTTTGTTTTTCACTATTTTTATTTGTATAGATAATGAATCTGTTTTTGCTCAAGTGAGATGCCTTACCACATTTATTCCAGAACTACAATAACTATCACTCATAAGGTCAATATCTCTACGTAGATAGCCTATCTCTCAACATGGAGGCAGAAGAGCTGTCAGTCACAACACATCAGACTGTTACTTGATTTTTGTTGTAAATTAAACAGTAATGCGTTACTTTACTAGTTCCTTAGAAAAGTAACCGGATAACATAACTCAGGTGACTTGTAATGAGTAAATTACTGCCAACACTGCAGGTTCATAAAACACACCTGCCTATGATCTTCATACAATATAATCCACTCACAGTTTGAATACAATTTTTATTTTTGATCATTCTAGGTTGACCAACTACCACGTACACCCATACTGGAAAAGTTTTAGGAGTGAAACTGCATTTAAATATGACTACATTATAGTTTCTGACAAAACTGTGATAGACTGACTTTTAGCTAATAAGAACCGGTTATTAATCTGGTCTGGTAACACACTGAGATGTGACAACAGCACACACAGCACCTTTAGACCAAATGAGTCACACTGTTCGGACGAATAAGTCCAGCATTAAAGGACCGTTGATATCTGTTCATGTTTCTATAAGTGAGCACTACTTTTGAGGGTGTTGTTGTTTACATCCCAGCCGCTGATCGATGACAGATCAGCAGCCGATCACACATGAAGATGAACATGTCACAGGGATCGAGATCCACTGACCTGCAGCTGCTGCAAGTCGAAGCCCTTCCAGAACTGACACATCGATGATGCTGCGCTGCTGGCCGCCATCTTGGCATCTTCGCCACATCACAACACAACAAAGATGACACGCGGCACGCGCACGCGCAGCACGGCTGTTTCTGCGGGACGCGCGCGGCGGCTCAAACAACTGTGATTGGCTCATCCTGCTAAACGCTGTGAAAAGTAACATTTGTCTTGACACACTGACGCGAGCCAACGATCTTCGACCTAAATAATAATATCGACAGTTCAATACTAATAGACATTTAATTAAAATGACACAATTAGGCCCCCTTTTGACGGCGCAACAGCCGGTGAACGAATCAGTTCATTAATATTAATTAGACAATCCGGGCAGATTGGCCAATCACGGCAGCGTATGGTTATTAATATTATTATTTTATTTGTTTTAAACTGTTTATTCATTTTAAAGCATTACAATCATAATCTAAAATACAATAAATCAATCTGAAAAGTGTCTTTTTTTGTTTTCGTTTAGCGTGTAGTTATTAATATTCATGAGGAAAGCTGTTTAGTCCACGTGTCCTTCACTTCCGCTGTCTTCTGTTAGCTCCCCATGTGTGCACACACATCATGGACGAGAAGATTCACCCCGATCTAGAGGATTTCTCCGAGGAGCCACTTCTGGAGGCTTTCATCAAGGAGATCCAGAAAGAAGAGGTGGTGTTCCTCATCGGGATATGTGTGGCTGTGGCGCTCGTCATTCTCACTGTCGGTAAGAAGCAGGAGAAGGAGAAGTCAAAATTATTCATATTCATCATTACTACATTAACACCCTTGTTAGCACATTAGATCATGTTTCACAAATCTATTGGATTTAGGACCGGTCAAATAAACTTAAACCAGTGAGATTTTGTATGAATGTGGAGTCTTAGAGAACAGATGGATTGATCATCTTCAGTCAGTGTGGGGTTACATGAGGAGCTTAAATCACACCAGAACAGGTGATTTTAGTTTTTTAAGATTTAGGTGTTCATGAAAACTCAACAAAACAGGCGCTTTTTTCCCTAACGAGGATCCTCCTGTGGAAGAAATGCTATCTTTAGTGTTGATGATGATACTGTCAGTGGGCGGGGCTGATGATGATGCTGCCAGTGGGCGGGGCTGATGAAGATGATGATGCTATTTGATTACTAACAATGAACATAAGAATAGTATGGAAGCTTGTTTCTGCCAAAGAATAAAACCTAAAAAAAAGATGGTTGTTATTGTTTCTTTTTTATCTCACAATTTATCTCCTAATTCACCTTTGGCTAAGCCCCGCCCCCCTTAGTTACTGTTGCTACATCCGTCAAACTTCATCTGCGCTCTGCATAGCTTATGCTGTAACAGCTGTTCCTGCTGAAATGTTATCAAACTTTTATAAAGCAGCAAATAAAGTGTCCGATAGAAGTAGGCAAAAGGGGCTGCAATATGCGTTCGAAGGCTATATTCAAGACATACAGGTGAAACAACAAGGCATCCAAAATAGAGGCAAAAGCATAACGTTACCGATCACAGTCAAAAAATGAACCACCGCATTTCCTACTAATGGAGACGGAGGCTGGGACTAACAATATCTGCAAAGCTGAGTAGGTCTCCATTCACTTCTATAATCGTTATTACAAAGAAAACGAACTACACGAGTACTGTATAAGGTTGTATTTATTAGCAGCGTGTGCTAGCGTATCAACAACCGGTATGAGAACCGAAATCATAACCTAAAACATTATAAAATGGTCTAACTAGTATAACTTCACACTCACAGTAAGGTTAGAAGTAAAAAAGATGTGCTTGTTGATCTTTGCGGGGTTTAGCTGACTGAGGACGTCCACACAGTTTAATCCAAACACGACACTTGTCAGGATTTTACTTCGGTTTTGGGAAGGGAAAAAACGGACACCCCCCTCCAACCTCTCTGGGAAACGTGTATCTGCGTTACAAATGCCCGAGGCACAACGTTTAACCATATTTTGGATAAAACTACGACGGTAATAGCCTGCCGAGACCAAAAATATGAGACGCCTGTGTTGAAAGTCAATAGAGCGCTGTGAGAAAGTGTCCGACCTCTGTGGGAGCTCGTTCTTGGCTGCGCTGTGATTGGTCAATCTACATTCTAGGGCGTGGCTTAGCCAAAGGCGAATTGGAAAAGGAACTACGTTTCGCTGCCAAATTTTCAGTATTAGCGTTACACTAGCCTGGGTTTCCCCATATTGCCTTTGCGCAGCACGGTTTTATTCACGCTGCTAGGCAGTCTGGATACCATGGACCAGATGATCGCCTCCGCGAGGGGACCAATCACAGAGCGGGAGGGAGCAGAAGACGCAGTTTGTTTATACCTATGGATCCAACATGGCAGCAGACACGAAGTTACCTTTCGATGCATCTTTAGATACATACGCCATCGTGTACACATTAATCTCTGACCCATCGTCGTCTTCCTCGTCTAATCTCTGTCGCTGTACACGCGTCATCTGGTATCATTGACCCGATTGGCTATGAGCTACGTACAGGTGCATTTGATAGACATTCGTAGCAAATTCGTAGCCTTAAAGGGTTAGTTCACCCAAAAATGAAAATTCTGTCAGTATTTACTCACCCTCATGTTATTTCAACCCCGTAAGACCTTCGTACATCTTCGGGACATAAATTAAGATATTTAAGATATTAAGATCGCTCCTGCATACAGTCCATAGGCTTCTTGAGGGACTGGCTCTTGCTGGCCTCGAAAAGTCATTAAAGGACATCGTTAAAATAGTCCAAGTGACTACAGGGGCTCAATCTTAAGTTTATCAAACGACGAGAACACTTTTGTGCGCAAAAAAACAACAAAAATAACGACTTTATTTCAACTATTCGTTTATTTCTCCCTCTGCGCGAGTCAGGTTACTAGTTTAATAGCGTAAGCTTCTGTTATTGTACGTCACACGCATCACACACATGACCAGCGTCGGCCAATAGTGAGCCTACGTGTGACGTAGCTCTACGCTATCACACTACGTTAAATGACTACAGGCTCATGGAGAAGGAAGTGAATAGTTGAAATAAAGTCGTTATTTTTGTTGTTTTTTGCGCACAAAAGTGTTCTCGTCGTTTGATAAAGTTAAGATTGAGCCCCTGTAGTCACTTGGACTATTTTAACGATGTCTTTAATGACTTTTCGGGGACAGCAAGAGCCAGTCCCTCAAGAAGCCTATGGACTGTATGCAGGAGCGATCTTAATATCTTAAATATCTTAATTTGTGTCGCGAAGATGAACGAAGGTCTTACGGGGTTGAAACAAGATGAGGGTGAGGAAATACTGACAGAATTTTCATTTTTGGGTGAACTAACCCTTTAAATACGAGGAAAGGAACTGAGTTTGACAGAGTGTAAAACGTGTTGAACATGAGCTGGTGTGTGTTCCTCTCTCAGTCTTCTTTGGGAAGTTTTGGGGCTCCAGTAAAGCGAGGAACGCCGTGCTGCTGCTGGGACTGTGTGACTCCGGGAAAACTCTCCTGTTCACTCGAGTGAGTAACACCACTATACACACACTTGGACAAAACATCATGCATTCATCCACAACACACACACACACACACTTGGACGTGATTGGCTGTGTTTGTCCAGTTGTTACTAGGGAAGTTTGCCAGAACTCAGACGTCCATCACAGAGAGCAGTGCCACATACAAGAGCAAGAGCGACCGAGTAAGTATGATGTCATATATACGACTGTACACACACGTGATGTCACACAGATGAGTGTAACAGTGTTGTGATGTTGCAGGGCCGCAGTTGGACTCTCATAGATGTTCCTGGTCATGAGAGTTTAAGAGTTCAGATAGTGGAGAAGTACAAGGCCGTGGCTCGGTGAGTGATGAACATGTGGCCTGTTCTTACACGGCTCTGTGGATGCTTGATCCTGATTGGTCAATAGCGCCGTCCAGCGCTGTGATGTTCCCAGAGAACAGAAACACAGGCTCACCCGGTCACTGAAGTCAGCACTGACACACACTCGCTAGGAACGGGCTTGCTGAATAACACACTTCTTTTTACGCATTGACTTAACAGCCTTAAAGCACTTGAATAATGGCTTCTCTCAGTTATACAGATGAACATCCAAACATTACAATATTGTGCAAAAGGTCATTTATTTCAGTAATTCAACATAAAAGGTGAAACTAGTATATTACTACACTCATTACATACAAAGTGAGATATTTCAAGCCTTTATTTGTTATAATTTTGATGATTATGGAAACCCCCATATTCAAAAGTAGAAATATTACATGAAATCAATAAAAAAATAGTTTTAAATACAGAAATGTCGGCCCTCTGAGAAGTGTAATCATGCCTATGTACTCAGTATTTGGTTCTGCATGAATTACTGACTCAATGTGGCGTGGATGCTGCTGTCAGCAATATATTCACGTTTTCTGAGTTTCACCTGTATTTGTCCCTCAAAAAAAAGGCATTTACAAAAAAGGCACAGTTAAAGGGGTAGTTCACTTTAAATAAACTTTTGCTGATAATTTCCTCACCCCCGTGTCATCCAAGATGTCCATGTCTTTCTTTCTTCAGTCGAAAAGAAATGAAGGTTTTTGATGAAAACATTCCAGGATTTTCTCCATATAATGGACTTCAATGGGAACCAAACGGTTCAAAGTCCAAAAGACAGTTTCAGTGCAAACTGTTCAAAGAGCTTTAAACGACACCAGACGATAAATAAGGGCCTTATCAAGCGAAACGATCGCTCATTTAATAAATAAATAACAAAGTTAAGTTTTATAAGCTCAAACGCTCGCCTTGCTCTGTTCTGTGACGCGCGTTTATGACTCTCCTGTTCATCAAAATGAACAAATCTTTTTCTGAGTCAATTCATTCGTTTAGTTCATTGAATCAACCAAATAACTATTAGTCCCACACCACTGTGTGAAAGAGCCTTTAGATTGTCGTGATTGGTCTGAAGGCTCTGTGTTGGATGTTTTAGAGCTGTGGTGTTTGTGGTGGACAGCAGCGTCTTCCAGAAGGACGTCCGAGACGTGGCCGAGTTCCTCTACTCCATCCTCACTGACGCCACCGTGGCCAAGAACACCCCCGCCCTCGTCGTGGCCTGCAACAAACAAGGTGTGACGTCACAAACACCAGCGATTTCACACCGTGTGTTTGAGACTGTCTTTGGTTCACTGCATTTTCAATCATGAAATACTCAGCAATGCCGTCCACTCATGAACTTACACATGGTGTGTCTTAAAGCTTATTAAAAACGCCATATAAGCAACATTATAAACTGGATTTTCACTATGGGTTGATATTGTTTTGTAAAATTCAACAAACTTTTTAGTTTCCAAACATTGGCATGATTTTCCTTCCATAGCATCCTAAAGTGCATCCCATCCCGGTGATTAAATATGCAGTGTATAATTAATAAGAGAAAACACTGTTTATCGCTAGCTCTGCTCTTATAAAGACGCGTGGGAGTGTGTGTGTGTGAAGTGCACTAGGCTTGCTTTCATATCTTCAGATAGTAAATCTGATCGCTGCACACCACTAACGGTTTATTAAGAAAACGCATTTCTTTGATAAATCTTTGCATAGTGATCCATTAAATGCATTTTGGTTTTCAGAAATGTGTGAGTGGATTTCAGAAGTCTGCATGATTGTTTTCTTTCTTCTGCAGATATCTCTATGGCAAAATCAGCCAAACTAATCCAGCAGCAGTTGGAGAAGGAGCTGTGAGTATCAGTTCTGATGTAGCGATACACAGTACGAGGCTTTCGGTTCGGTACGCATTTCAAACTGAACTATTTTTCCTGCCGACCAAAATTTTGTTAGCATTAAAGTCCCACACAACGTTGCCCAACATCAAATGGAGGGCTTGGAGCCAGAGGGGCGTAAGTGGCATTTTGGGCGAATGTGAGTTCTTTATATCAAAATAAAGGTCTTGATGAGCTCTATCCAATGGTGCCTATCTGAGATCAAACTGTATTGAATAAAGCAACAAAAAGGCGTTTCTGACGTATTTGACTTTTTGAAAATATTTTAGAACATGTTCATTGTGTTAATACGCCATACATTTTTTACTTAAACACTCATTTCATGTAAGTATGCCTGTGGTTGTAATGTTTCTGATTTAAGGTTAATAATCCAGGTGATTGAAGCGTGGTCAATTTTGTTTTGTCTCTCCTGTAAAGTTTGTTAAAAGTAGGGATGGGTATCGTTTTAATTTGAACGATTCTGATTCCGATTCCGATTCCTTGTTTCGATTCCGGTTCCTAATGATTCTCGATTCCGATTCTTTTAAGAGGCAGGGTCAAAAAAGTTTAGCTAACCTTGCTAACCAACGGCCTTTCTGGAGGAAATACCCCTTCTGTAAAAATACTCCTTTTGTCACAAATTTTGCATTTTGCCGAGATTTCGTTATTTTTAGAAAAGTGAAGCCACACTTTGGACCGCCGACGTAAGCTACTCATGTTCGACTCGCGTGGTTATGCCAACTCTTCCGGTAGACGCTTCTTCGTTGGTGTTGTTCAGTGGTTTCTTCTTCCGCTCGGCGGACTGTGAATATCGAAACTAGGAATCGAAATTTTAACTTTTGAACGATTCCGGGAAAAACGAAAAGTTAGTCTCGGTTCCAGTCGATACTCGATTCTCGATACCCAACCCTAGTTAAAAGCCACTTACGCCCTTTTGGCTCCAAGCTCTCGAAATGGTAAACGTGATGAAATTTAAGCTTTTCTTTCGTTTTGCTGTATCAAAAACATACCGAACCATGTCAACACTGCATCATATCGAACCGAACCGTGAATTTTGTGAGCCGTTATGCCATGTACCTGAATTCTTCGCAAGTGCTCATTCATTAATGGTCAAAGCAACTCCACTTCACCCACGATATTACCATATTACCAAGATATTACTTTTTTGTTAGTAAAGCTAGTAGATGGGGAAAAGTAGCACAAAAGTAACTACTTTCCATAAAAAAAACAACTAAGCAATGCTATTAGTGGCTTTTTTAGGGAGTAATGTGATATTTTAATGGATTAATTTTAAAAGGTGGAAGAAACCCTACATGATTTGGTCTGTTGGAGTGTGTGTGTGTTGTTGTTCATGGCCTGATTCTCCGCAGGAACACGCTGAGGCTGACGCGGTCCGCGGCGCTCTCCTCTCAGGACGGGGCGGTCGAGGGATCGGTGTATCTGGGCAAGCGAGGCAAGGACTTCGAGTTCTCTCAGCTGCCGGGCCGCGTGGAGTTCATCGAGTGCAGCGCTCGCGGGAGCAAAGCAGAAGACGGAGACACCGCCGGCATCGAGGCGCTGGAGAAGAGCCTGGCCAGACTCTGAACCTCTCTAACGCCTCCTCTCAAATCATGAACTTGTGTCAGATACCCAGCGGCGTACATCATGTCTAAACTGATGCAGCACATCGCGTGATCGGGCAGAATCAGTGTGTGCGAATGCAAACACTGCCTCGTCCATATGCTTTTCCTTGCCCTAGTGTGTTGAGTTTTCACTCCAGGGCTCTTCTAGAACCGGGGTCCGGTCCAGATTCATCTCCTTTTTTCAGATCTATTGTATTTTGTTCTGCTAGAGGCAAGTGAATGCTATTAAAAATGGCTTGTTTTCATGCTGTTTCTCCGAAGGCTTCTGTTTAATAAGTGGCTAAACAGTGTAAATGTATAGGCAATACTCTATTTTAAGGGAGAGATCCAGGTGCAAAATAAGTTCAGCTCTGTTAACAGCATAAAGTACATGTAGTCAGTGCTGAAACAGGGCTGGTTCTTTAACGTCAGTGTTTTAGCTCGAGTCCAGCCTCTGGAGTAAGAAATAAGATTAGACTTTTTGCATTGTAAGTACATTATAACATTATACATTAATAGGGGTGGTGATGGTGCAGCATGCGACCTCTGACACATTTAGCAATTGTAAGTCGCTTTGGCTAAAAGCATCTGCTAAATGAATAAATGTACATTATTCATTTTGAGTGTCTTCAAAACATACAAACAATATCATAAGTTTATTATATTTGAGTAAAAAGTAAATGCTGCTTACTAATACATTTGGCTTATTCCAAATACTAGAAATTTCACACAAACTACAAATGCACATTAATAAACATTACTTCGCTACTTTGTGTAATATACTATAATGTATTTTGAAAGTATACTTTCAACACTATATTTACTATTTTCAATTGTTACAATGATAATTTGCAGCATAGTTAAAATATATTTTGAAAACATCAAGTTTTGTGAAAATAGGTAAAAACATTATGCCAATATATTTTTAAAAATAATTTAAAAATATTGTTAGTATATTTGCAATGTACTATTGAAGAAAAAAAAAATGAATAGATTTCAAATAAAATTAAGTGTACTACTTTTTCACTAGGGATAAAACAAAGAATTATTACAACATGAATCACAAATACTTTAATCTTTATTTTTTTTTTTCATTTCATTAATTAGTAAGCAATAAAATTCTTGTTCATGAAAACACAAACATCAAGTTGTGCATCACTGAAGTTTAGTTTGAAGAAAGAGGGGAAAAAGGTCTGCACAACCTGGATTAAATTAAAGGGTTAGTTCACCCAAAAATGAAAATTAAGTCATTAATTACTCACCCCCATGCTGTACCAACCCCGTAAGACCTTCGTTCATCTTCGGAACACAAATGAAGATATTTTTGATTAAATTTGAGAGGTGGATCAGTCCTAGATAGACTGCCTAAGGGACTGGCTCTTGACGGCCCATCAAGTCATTAAAGAAAAGGTTTAAATATTCCATGTGCCTACAGCGGCTCAATTATAAGTTTATCAAGCGACGAGACTACTTTTTGTGCGAAAAAAACATAAATAACGGCTTTATTCCACTATTCCATTACTTCCTTATGGGCGCATGCGCGAGAACTGAGACGAGGACGTTACCACTTCGCCGCTGGTGCCCAGGGCCCCTTAGATGTCGTGGGCCCCTGGGCAAGTGCCCAGTTGCCCTAATAGTTAATCCGGCCCTGCCTGTAGTCATCGCCACTGTTTGTGGGCTGGGAATGAACACCTCACGCCTGTGAGGTGCCCTTAGTTATTACCTGTGACTCTGTGCTGCCCGAGGGGAGGGCAGGTAACACAGTCTGTGGTCCAAGAGGGGAAAAAGCTCTGTAGTTTGCTTTATTGAACATAATACGCATGAAACAGCATTTACAACACATTTGCACATGTCGCACGTGGAATGCAGAGGGACTAAGTGCTGTGCAGCGGTGCCAGCCTGGCGCTCTCTTGCTAGGGCGGTCAGGATGACATTTCCTCCTCTGGGCCTCCTCCTTTTCTCACCCACACCCTGCCACTGGCCGCTCCGTCCTCTGCAAGCATCCGGCTCCGGGCTAGGTGCTGACTACCGTCTGGCCGCAGCTTGAGGTTGGCGGCCCGAGGCGGAAAACAAGCGAGAGCGAGGCTGCGGTGGAGGCGGCGCCACCCTGTGAGGAATGACGTGGCGCATCGCCTTAGCCTTCTTTTGGGTGTCAGAGTAGCACTCGGTGACCTTCTCGATGGCATCTCCAAACAGGCCTGTTGGGGAGATCGGTGCGTTCAGCAGTGTCTTCCTGTCAGCCTCCTGCACATCCGAAAGGTGTCTGTGGAGGACCACCATGAAACCCATTGAACAGCCCATCCCCTGGGCCGAGCGCTTCGTGGCGAAGGGCGCAAATTGTGTGTCCGAACGAAGATCCAGAATGGTGTCAGCGTCTCTCCTACGCGTGGGTTGCTGTCTTGCTGGGCCACACCAGGGCAGCAGGCTTTGACTTACAACCAGCCATGTGCTCATTCAGGAGAGAGAGGACTCTCTCAACCACAACAGAATCAAGGACAACCTTAGGAGTTTGGCACGTCTTCATTCAACACAGACGAAGTCCATCGCAACCCCTACCATTTGCTCTGTGTGTCCTCTCCAGCCCAGGGCCAGCATGCCACATCTACATGTGCTCATGGAGAGAGAGAAAACTTTCAACCAGAACAGAGTCGAACTTACCAGGCAGGCAACTTCATCATATCTTCTTCATCCAAAGGAGAAGAAAACCATTGCAACTTCAATATTTGACACTCTTGGAACCATCAACATCCTTTTCCAAGAACTTAAAGAACTGTTTCTACTGCAAATGCCATGCAAGTATCAATTTAATGAAGTGCTCTGAAAATGAACAGCTGATGGTTCTTCTCATTGTTACATGGATCATTCCCACAGTTCCATTTCCTGCTTCCGATTCCATTATTTTACACACCCATGTATGTATATGTTTAGAGTAGTTATATTTGTGATATAGTTAATAAAACTTGTGCACAATACGTATTTGGTTCTGCTTGCAACTAAATTTACTTTACAATTTAGATTTTGACTACAGGCTCTTAGTACTGTACTCTTAGTAGTACTATTTCTTAGAATTAATATACAATTAACGCTGAGTGTTCCTGAGACGAACAGGTGGGTTGATTGTAAAAATGTATTTACTACATTAAGTTAATTATATGAACTGATTCAATTGATCCAACTGATTTCATAATTAATCATAATCAACTACTATTGATTATTGGGTGATGGAGAATCTCTTCTGTTGTCTTCCACCTGTGCCAGTGAATCCAGGCTCCCAACCACAAGCTCTTTTTTGACAACTATTTCACCACCTACAATGTCCTTGAAGTTCTTGCAGAAAAGAAAATCCATTCTGCTGGAACAGCAAGGCTTTGCAAATCCGCCACTGAAGACAGACAAGGAAATGTCTAAAAAGACGTGGGAAAACCATGATGAAGTTCGAAGTAGGGATGGAAAAGTTGTTCTTGTAAAGTGGTTTGATAACCGCTCTGTTGTACTGGCCTCCAACTTTGTTGGTGTTGGACATGAAGATGAAATTGAGAGGTGGGATAAGAAAGAGAGGCAGTTTGTGAAGGTCAAGCGTCCAGAGGTTGTGAAGAAATACAACAGAGGCATGGGAGGGGTGGACAAGCTTGATCAGCTAATCAGCCTTTACAGGATTGATATCAAGTCCCGCAAATGGCCAACTGTGCATGATTACTCATGCTTTTGATGTTGCTGTTGTGAATAGCTGGCTTAATTATAGGGACAATGAATACAAAGGAACTCAGCCACAGAAATTCATGGATCTCCTTCAATTCAAAATGAATGTGGCCGAAGTGCTTGTGCGTTCTTGAAAACCACAGGGTAAAAAAAAAAGAGGGAGGCCAAGCAATTGTAACGCAGCCAGTACCTCTCAAACTCCACAAGATGAAGCTGGACCAAAGAGAGGGCCAAGGGAATGGCGGCCAGTTCTTGAAGTCCAAAAAATATGGTTGACCACCTGGCAAATTACGATGCAAATAAAGAAGCAACAAAATGCAAATTGGAAGGTTGTTCTGGGAAAACACACGTCTTCTGTGATAAGTGCGAGGTGCAATACTGCTTTGTGTCACAAAGCAATTGTTTCAAAGATGCACACAGAAAATGAATAATGTGACTGGCATGTTAATGTATTGCTAGGTTTACTTTGTTACAATGTGAAATCGGTATAGAAAAAAAACCCCAAAAATAAAGATGAAATGTTTAATAAAAGTAAAAAAAGATAATATGCTATAAGCTTAAAGTATAGACCAACACTTTTTATGTTTATTATTTTATTTCATGTTGGGATTTTTTTTAAGTACCCTTGTTTTGACCTGATGTCCATTGAGATGGACAAAAAAAATGCTATTAAAGACTATTGAAATTTGTAATATTTGTACTGGGTCTCATTTATAGAAGCCTCATGAGCTGGGAAAATGTACTTTACATTTTTCAGAAACTGGAAAGATAATTCAGGTCTGAAGGGGTTAAGGGCAGATGGAAGAAGGTGGGTCTCATAAGGGCCGGTGGAGTGGTGGAGGGTCTCATTTGGGCCGGTGGGTCTCATAAGAGCAGGCAGAAGAAGGAGGGCCTCATAAGGGCAGGTGGAGTGATGGAGGGTCTCATAAGGGCAGGTGGAGTGATCGAGAGGCTCATAAGGGCCGGTGGGTCTCATAAGAGCAGGCAGAAGAAGGAGGGTCTCATAAGGGCATGTGGCGTGATGGAGGGACTCATTAGGGCCAGAGGAGGGATGGAATCCATCATAAGGGCAGGTGGAGTGATGGAGTGTCTTGTAAGAGCATGTGGAGTGATGGAAGGTCTCATACGGGCAGGTGGAGTGATGGAGGGACTCATAAAGGCCAGTGGAGTGATGGTGGAGTGATGGAGGGTCTCATAAGGGCCGGTGGGTCTCATAAGAGCAGGTGGAAGAAGGAGGGTCTCATAAGGTCCGGTGGAGTGATGGAGGGACTCATAAGGGCAGGTGGAGTGATGGAGGGGCTCATAAGGGCAGGTGGAGTGATGGAGGGGCTCAAAAGGGCAGATGTAGTGATGGAGGGGCTCATAAGGGCTGGAGGAGTGATGGAAGGGCTCATAAGGGCCGGTGGAGTGAAGGAGGGGCTCATAAGGGAAGATAGAGTGATGGAGGGGCTCATAAGGGCAGATGGAGTGATGGAGGGACTTATAAGGACAGGTGGAGAGATGGAGGGTCTCATAAGGTCCGGTGGAGTGATGGAGGGTCTCATAAGGGCAGGTGGAGTGATGGAGT